TGTCGGGTGAAACTGAGATCACTGAGATCTAGTAAGATCGTCATGTTAACAGCGGTACCGTCGCGGCTCGTTAGGCTCGAAATGACGCATCAATTTTTTTTCATCTTTAACATCTTTAACTAAAATACTTGTCACGCTGCTTATTGAATTTTTTTCTATGGATTCCGTTACATTATCATTCTAAAATCACTGATGCGTAAGGAGAAACGTATTTTAGCGTTTTTTGAAAAATGCTTGTAAGTGTAAAAATTTAAAACCTTGATAAATTAATATATTTAATTATTTAGGAATTTATTCACCTCTCTTATTATCATGGAAACAATTTTTTTTCTTTGATCACAGTTTTATACAAAGAAACGAGTAATTTCCGATAAATTCTGGTATTTTGAAAACTTTTGAGTGAAAACTTTGGGGCAGCGCACGGTCTGGGAATGTGGGCGACATTCATCTGAACCAGGTTTCCTTTTATGGGATATTGACATGGTCCATACATCTCGGGGCGCGGTAAAAGAACTCTTTATCGATTTACGCGAAATTGCTGCATCGAGTAAATTAATTAAATAATGCCTGTTATAAATCTTAAAAGGAACAAACAGAGCATGTGTCTAACTTTATAGACGTGAGCTGAAAAGGATGTTAATTTCTGAATTATTCAGAAATTTTAATTCAGCCATCACGATATCTGGTGTAAACTAAATTAACGTGTCGATTGGCGTCGAAAAGTTTAAAAAGCTACCTTGAGCTCGACGCCGGCAGGTACGACGATCGGCCTGAAGGACAAAGAGTGAGGGCAGATCGGAGTAATCATGATGGCAGGAACTGAAGGATGAATCATGCTGGCTCCAGCGGCGACCGCGTAGGCAGTTGATCCGGTTGGCGTGCTCACGATCAAGCCGTCACCCTGGACGCTCGTCACGTGTTTGCCGTCGATGAATAGATCAATGTTCGATAGGTAAGGCGAGGGTCCTCTATCTACCACAACTTCATTCAATACCAGGAGATTAGTGGGTGGTTCAGTCGGTTGACCCTCTTCGTTCTTGCGCATGATGATGCATCTTAGACGACTCCTCAAGGTTAAAGCTGCATGACCTGGTGCCGAGAAGCGAAAAGTTATAAGCTTGACTATACACGAAAAACTACGAATAATCGAATAAATTGACAGCTAACCTTCGAGAACGTTGGTCACTTGCTCCTGAAAATTGTCGAACTCGAAAGGGGTGAGAAATCCTAAGGAACCAAGGTGAAATGCCATTACAGGTGGCACTGATTGTTGGAACAACAGACTGGCATAAAGGAGTGTGCCGTCGCCTCCCAAGCAGACAATAAAGTCAATTCGATCCTAAAAATAAAAAAATTAGACATCTTATTAATATAAGAGCAAAGATATTGATAAATTAGTGTAAATTTCATTGTTTTTTAATAATATAATTATTTGTGGCATACAAAATTAGATTGCTTATTTTTTATCATACGATAAATAACTGCATCAAATTCGATTCGTAAATATGTAAGTAAATTTTTAGTTTCATATTTTATTTGATGAGAAACATCGTAAAAAATTATAACAAACGATAACTTGTAAATGTCAAATGGAGAAAATTATTACCTGCAATTCATCCGTGCCGTCTCTAAAAGTCTGTAATTTGTCGCGAACACCTTGAAATCTGGGATCTCTGGCCAAGGCTGGATCTTCCAAAACAGATGCTTCCACAAAGACCACCATCCGCTTTTCCTGCATTACGGAAACGAAATTTTAAGACTCTAATCATCTAATACGAGCAAGTAAAGGTAAATAACATACTTTCGGCACTGTATTTTTAATACTAGAGAAAATGTAAGAATAATAATAGTTCACATGGGTTAAGGACGATTTCTCTTTTACTAACAGCCATATACCTGACGCTTATATGCCTGACAAGTCAACAATGTGCTTATATAGTTAATACATTACAAAGTGCAATTGTCGTGAATAAAAAAAAGACGATATATTTTTAATGTGAATTAAATATAAAACTAGACTAATATGAAATTAAGAATGCGTGGAGAAGATACGGATTGGTAACGAGGACAGTTTCTTTCTTTCATTTTATGCAAATGAAGCAAATTAATTTTTTGCAACGTTCCATTACGGAAAGTGAACTGTTACGTCAATCAACTGTAAACAAGAGCTAATCGACTTCTCGCGAGATAAAGTTATTGAAACAATTTTATTAACATTTACCTGTATTAGCCATGTGACCATTTGAACAAACGGTGGCAGGACTGACGAGTCGCGAACTTTCTTGATGACCAAAACGGTGAGCGGTGGTTTGTACCATGTCAACCTCTGGGAGGCTGGATCCTGAATGGTCCTGTGCAAC